AAATTGCAATTGGAAAACTGCAAATGCGCGAGCTGCGAAGGGTATGACATGAAAGGTGACCGATATCGAAGGGTGTATCCTGAGAAAATCAAAAGCGCCAAACCGAGATCCGAGAATATCTTCTTGAATCCGTAAGGGGTAAAAGGAAAAGAGAGTCCCCTTTATCGGGGATTCTACGAATATTGACGGCGGGTATTGACTTCGGGAGCAGAATAAATCAGATACCATTGGGGAATGACTAAAGAAGCAAAAAAAGGAAAATATAAAAAAAAACTATCGAAAAGATCTTTCCGCAAAGAGGAATCTTCAATCTCTAAAAGAAAAACAAAAATTAATAAAATTTGCCAAACAAAACTTTAACGAAAAATAACATCTCTTAATATTACTTTTATTTTATATTATAAAATAAATTGGCACTCTTAAGTACTTTTTCAATCGGAAAAATAATATCTTATTTTATTATTTATTGCATGCATATATTTACATATTTTTTTCGATCATATCGAATAATTTTGAGCAGTTCGTTGCGTATATTTTCTCAGATTTACTTACGAATGAGTTTCGTGTGAGATCTTTTATGTCAAAATTTTTAATAAGATATTTAAAATTGTTTTATTTTTATTTGAATCACTTTCTTTCGATATAAAAGAAATTGATAATTTTTGTCACATTTGACATAAAATTGCATTAATCAATTTTGCGAAAGAAGAGCAAGAAATATAAATGATCGAAGACAAATTAAAATTAACGAATAAAAATTGAATGAATGATCGCTGCAGTTGCAAAATATCGAGATCGAAATAGTCAATGTGAGAAAATGGCTCTGCTGCGGTTGAAAAAAAAAAAAAATCAGGACGTGAAAATGCAACATCGTGGATCACCGGGACGAAAATGGATGAAATGCCGACAGAGAAGGTGAAACGTGGAAAACGAAGGGCTGGCGTTGGGGAAAGACAGAAGGGTGTTCCTTGGAGGGTGTTCGCGAAGCTGCCTAGTTCGGCCGTAGAGTTTGAATAATGCAGACTTGCACAACGCTGCTTAAAAGTGATCGGTCCATCCCCTCCGTCGTCTCCTCTCGCCCTTATACCCTCTCCGTCTCTCACCGATCCCTTTAGAATCTCACTTCCAGTTCGTCTAAGAGTACGAACTAAGATTGATTTTAGATTGGGTGGGAATTGGGAATAGTGAGCCTGTTACTCTCTCTCCAGCAGGTCTCCTCCGTCCTTCTTGTCGTCTCTCTTTCTCTCTCCCTCTCATTCTTCGTCGTGCTGATTTTCCGCCTGATTTTCTTTGCCTTCCCCTGTTTCCTTCCAATGTACATACGTACACGTGCATTTACATAGCCAAGTGTAATATGTTTATGTAACCGGGAAAGACGTTGAGTAGATGCAGTGTATTTACGATCACAGTCGAGATTTATACTCTTAGCGATTAGAATAAGAATACATAGAAGGCTAAGACGTTAATTCTCAGTCTGTCAAAATGATAGTTATCTTTCAACAGTATTATATGTAAAGTTTATATTGCAAAACACATATTTAAGATGACATTTTAATGATCTTATATTATAATTCATTATTCATTTATTATTATTTTATTATCATATATTTTTATACTTTTCGTATCGTATTTAAGAATTACATAATGGATATTAACATTTTCATTCGTCGTATTCATTTCGTGTTCGCGGCTATCGTTCGCTTTCATGCTCAATTTACATATTTTGCTGCGCCTGTAATCGCCGCGCCGGTTCGAATGGAATTATGGAAAGAACGTCCTTTGTGGACGTGACCGTATATAAAAGCCTGGTCTCTGGGCGAGATTTATCCTACCGACGATCGACCCTCCCAGGGGAGTATAAAAGTGCCAAATTAGAATGGTACAGCGGCTGGGCCAGTGTCATGCCTATATAGGGCACGGCGAAAGCCCGCATTGCGGAATGAGAGATCGGCTATCGGGCTATCACTGGCTCCCCTCTCCCCTTTACGATGCCAATTCACGAGAGATCGTAATTTCAGATGATGCGGGGATATAATGTGAATCAAAACAATCATTTCAACTCCCATTTGAATTTAATTTCTCGCTGAAACTCTCATAAGATGTCTGTCTTTGATGATTTATAATAACTGGTACATCTTATAACACAATATATATATACACACAACATTCTTTTTTTATTTTTGTTTTCTTGTTTTGAGGAAGTTTTCCACGAATAAAAATTTCAGTAAAAAGAAAATTATTTTATAACGAAATAACAGTCTATAATATGTATGTATCAGACTGTAATACATTCTGCGAACTTGCTACTTAATGATTATCTTAAATTAAGTACATTCCGTCTTCTCCGCTCATTTATTATTATTATTATTTAATTAAAATTAAGCTACATTATTAAAATACATTTTTTAATAATCTCATAATGATTCTCTTCTTTCTGCGATGTACTTTTTTAAAAGTTAAAAACTTAAATACTTCTCAACACGAGAGAAAGAAAGAGAGAGAATATTTTGTACAGAAACAAAAAAAAATTTCGAGTAAAACTTGACTGAATTTTTTGCGAGATATGTATGAAATATTTACTAAAAGAGAAATACACCAAAATCATAAAGAATATATGTATATATATTAATGTGTCGTTGTATCATCGTAACTAACGATGACATCTACATTTACAATGACATGTCGGCAGGAACACCGCATTACAAGCATTCTCTTTCAAGATAATGCCAAAATCTATGCTGTTCTTTTTCCCCTTTTTGAAACTTTATAAAAATATTTTATATTTCGGTATATATACTCTCTCACTTCTTTCTTTATAAATATATACATATATGATTACTTTATATATGTATATCTCCCATTTTAAAATCTTGTCTCCTATTTTTTTCGTCATTTTTTTATTTCTCTCTCTCTCTTTTTTATTTGTTATTATCTTTTATTGTTTTTCTCATAATTTTGTATTTCCATTAAATACGCAACTGTTCGACAAACCGAACTAATTTTTTAAACATATTTTGCGATCTCGTACACTCATAGTCTTTTAAGAGAAAAAACAATACAGAGACATAACTTTGAGTACTATTATTGATGTGACTTAATCATAGACACGCGACAGTCATAGATGGAAATGGCCGACAATTTTTGCGAATCGAAGAAGATAAACGGAATAATAGCCGACGAGATACATTTTGAAAATGATTCGTGCAATGTGTAAGCGGCAGCACTACAATAAACCGGTCGCTGCCTCCGCGAGATCAATGCGCCAATAATTTCCTATGACGATCATAGCTCATTCGACTCGCCGGCATTATTCATCGGGCGAGATTCCGAGTAAAATAACCAACGCCAAAATCACGTTAAAAGCTTTCTGCCTCTTTCTGTCAAAACGATTTTACGCTTTCCTCGCTGCTATCTGTACATTTCTCTTCTTTCTCTTTTTAAATCTAGGTCCATCTATCTTTCTTCGTATTGTCATTTTACTCTTTTGCGTTTCATAAACTCTATCCGCCTACCTATCATTTCGGTCTTCTATAATTCAACATTCTAGCGTTGAAAAGCGTGCGTGAGTAGATGTGAAGCGTGGGTGCAATGAAAGAGACAGTGGAAGAAAGGTGAACGGATGAAGCAGGAAGAAGCACCTTGGAAATAAATTTTACAGTCGGAGTTCATGAAAAGTGCCGGTAGCCGTTAACGTAACACATCGAAATGCTCTCTCGTTCCCTCCGTATGTGATGTATGTAACAAGAGCTGGTACGGTGTGAGGGGGAAATGGGCGAATTCTCGGATAAAAAGGATTAATTGTTCTCTCCATCGTTACCCTTTTTTCAATGAAAAACCAATACAACGAGTCGTTATCCGAAACTCTACGTAAGGAATGAGCGCAATCGAAACGAAATCGATCGAAAGGGAAATCTCTGCTCATATCGCTTGCCATTTCAAGAGAGGATAATATAATCTTTTAATTTGGAAATTTTTATTTACTTATATACGACAAATCGATGTCTCGCGCGTGAGAATGCAATCGTTTCAAACGTGGAGAAAATTGAAAGATGTGAATTATGTAAATACATTGACAGAATGTTATTATTATTTATGCATATATATTTGTTATATGTAATTTTACAAGGGTTAAATTATTATTTTCTTCAATACATAAATCTTAAAAAATTTCTACATATTAATGTAATTCTCCTATATATATTTTAAAATTATATCAATAAAAATTTTAGTAAAAATGGCAAAGTGAAATATATATTTATAACATCGCATACTAATAAAATCACGTTTTTTCATTTATTATTTACATTTCATCGTGATTTCTTGGATAGGCCGAAATTGGCGCACGTTCACCATCGATCGTTTACTATAAAACATCAGAACATGAATTTGCCACGACGGTTCCGCATGGCGAAAGTGAATTTTCGAAATCTGCTTGGTTTAGACGTGGAGACGTGACGAGAATTTCGACGAATTCGGACACGTGGTTGGTCAAATTTCTATCACGCTTATTCGCAAACTTATTGGTCAGAGTAAGGCGATCGATACGCATAGGCGTCACGGTGTCTGAAGCGCTTTTTACGTTTCTCTAGAAGACCATTACAGATGCCGATTACTGTTGGTAGTCGACTCGGATGACACATTTATGAGCGAAATAAAAGTCGACAACAGAGAGAGGTTGTAATGGGGGCAATGGCGCGTTGGGAAACAAGTCATACTCGCGGAATAATATCTCTCAGACAAAGTGTCATTACGGAGAAAAATCGTTTTAAATATGCATTAAACGTATGTCATCGACTAGATCAAGATAGCGCAGAAATGAGTATACTAATGACTAACATAAGACTTGATGTATACTACGTTTTAAGTGTGACACTTAGGAGTAAAAGACGTGTCGTTATACGAAATGCTCTTGCGTGACAACAATTTGAGACATTTTAATTTAACATATTCTTAACATATATATAAATAAACTAAGTTTAACATTTTGTTTTATCTTTCAGAACGCTAGCTGGGGAGAATGGTCATCTTGGTCAAAGTGGTCGGCATGTACAAGGTAAGTCATCTATTATAAACAGATTACTTTAACTTTATAAATTTTTATAGTGTTCTAAGAAATCTTATTTTTTTCTACGAACATAATTATAGTCATATAAAATGTCTTTAAATAATTTCTGCGACTAAAATCGCGCTCACGAGATTACGCAAAATATTTGCTTTAATTCCGTGTTTAATTCAATTTGACATTAATTGTAAACATAAGAAAAAGATTCGCATTCAAGAAATCCCATATTTTATCAGAACATGAATTTGCCACGACGGTTCCGCATGGCGAAAGTGAATTTTCGAAATCTGTTTGGTTTAGACGTGGAGACGTGACGAGAATTTCGACGGACACGTGGTTGGTCAAATTTCAATCACGCTTATTCGCAAACTTATTGGTCAGAGTAAGGCGATCGATACGCATAGGCGTCACGGTGTCTGAAGCGCTTTTTACGTTTCTCTAGAAGACCATTACAGATGCCGATTACTGTTGGTAGTCGACTCGGATGACACATTTATGAGCGAAATAAAAGTCGACAACAGAGAGAGGTTGTAATGGGGGCAATGGCGCGTTGGGAAACAAGTCATACTCGCGGAATAATATCTCTCAGACAAAGTGTCATTACGGAGAAAAATCGTTTTAAATATGCATTAAACGTATGTCATCGACTAGATCAAGATAGCGCAGAAATGAGTATACTAATGACTAACATAAGACTTGATGTATACTACGTTTTAAGTGTGACACTTAGGAGTAAAAGACGTGTCGTTATACGAAATGCTCTTGCGTGACAACAATTTGAGACATTTTAATTTAACATATTCTTAACATATATATAAATAAACTAAGTTTAACATTTTGTTTTATCTTTCAGAACGCTAGCTGGGGAGAATGGTCATCTTGGTCAAAGTGGTCGGCATGTACAAGGTAAGTCATCTATTATAAACAGATTACTTTAACTTTATAAATTTTTATAGTGTTCTAAGAAATCTTATTTTTTTCTACCAACATAATTATAGTCATATAAAATGTCTTTAAATAATTTCTGCGACTAAAATCGCGCTCACGAGATTACGCAAAATATTTGCTTTAATTCCGTGTTTAATTCAATTTGACATTAATTGTAAACATAAGAAAAAGATTCGCATTCAAGAAATCCCATATTTTATTATTTAATATTATATTTCCTCTTCATAGTAACAAAATATTTCTAATAATACTACGCATATATATCTTCATACACGCGAGACAAAAGTCTCTGTTTTTTTTTTCGATCAAGAGATCGTATTCGAAAACAAACTCTGCGAACGATACAAAGAATGCTACGTCCGTCGGCGCCACATATTGTTTGGTAACAGCGCGACTAAAAGGGCTTCTCCATAACGGTGGTCGGCCTTTCGCATGCGAGACATGATCCCAATCCCCGCGATTTCTCATCGCCTGTGTTTCGTACGGTTTCTAATATTGAGTCTCCTGCCGGTAACGCAACCGGAATGTTAAACGTTCCGGAACTCATTTTGGCGGCCACCACCGGCAATAAGTTTGTTCTCGACTCTCGCCCCGCTCGTTTTTCAGTTATACAGAAGTGGCTGGGACCGCGAGACGTAGCAATTTATGGCACTTACAATTTGCGAACTGCACTCGGTCGGGAAAGCTTATTGTGTGATCTACAGCATTCTACTTATTGATGTTTGTACGCCACCTGCACATATCTTCGTCTCTATTACAATCTGCGATATCGTTAATCAGAAAGATGCAATGATAACGCGATTATATAGATGCTGTAATTAATGTGATTATACAATGACTTTATTTATTACTGAGAAAATGATAATACACTGCCCATATATAATAGCTTATTATCATAATAAATACATAGCCTTTAGGTAATTCAATTAGTGTTATTTAATAATGCTAAATAATAGAGAATATAGTCTATTGCACCTTGTGCTTGATGCATTATTTATAAACAGTTTAAAAATTTTAACTGTTTCGCGTAATTTATTTACAAAGTATATATGTATACATACAATATACATATGTTATACATATATAATGTATATATGTATTCCATATATTATTATTTCAATTAACTAATTATTTACGCATTGCTTATTGTTCAAAGCAAATAATTACTCCTTGTATAGAATAATGCAATCGATATCAACTTTTCTAAAATTGGAGCCAAGTCATGATCAATTTACACATACTACACACAATTGATAAAGTAATTAATAATGATGGCTACTGTATCGCTATAAATAATCTACTGATTCTACTGTTTTTACGCACAAAGGGCTTCATGTATGTAAGCTGGAATATTTGAGTTTATTTCTTAACCATTGATACTATATACGTCCCGCCAAATTGAGAATGCTCACGTCAGCCAATTTACGCTCTCCATATTTAACGACCAGCTTTGTTATCCCCTATTTCTCGAGTCAAGTCGCTTCTAAAAATTTCTTAACATGATATCATCACTTTGACATACGTTTTCCATAAATTGTAATTCTATTTGTAGCTCTATAAAATAATACCGCGCTACTAAATATTTTCAAAGAATATTTACGAATTGTCTTCGCGAGTTGGAACGGATATTTTGAATATGTAACTGTATGTAATCAAAATCTTTTGAATTCAGCTTTGATCGAAGTACTCTTGGAGCTATTTAAATAACCGATTTCGATACGTATTAATGTTATTGTTAGCGAAGAACACTTTATATCATAAATGACATTTTCATTTCGTAGTAAATATATTTTGCGCCAATCTCGGAGCAGAACTATCTTATATTCATAGAAGTAATGCAATTTCCAGCGAATAAAGATTGCTCGTGGAATTAGCATGAAGTAGTGAATTGAATTAACTAACTGTGCGTCGCGCCGGCACGCGGCGATGAAACGTAATTAAACTCTTGACGATTTTAGCGCGACTTGATCATGAAAAGTTTATTGGATAAGCGTGTCTAGGAAAGGACACGCGGTCAAAGTGCATTCAAAATAATTTATAGAGTCATTGGATTTAATTCGCTGATATAAATAAATCTTTCCGCTTGTCTTTCAGGACGTGTGGTGGTGGAATCTCGCGCCAACAGCGTCGATGCAGGCGTAAATCGTGCAAAAGCAGAGCCTGGACCACCAAATATAAAGTCTGCAATGCTGAGGTGAGTGTTTTCGAACATTAATTTAACTTAAGCATTTATCGCCTTGCATAAGAATATCTTCCTCCAAATAATTCTCATCGTCTTTTCATTTTTTTGATGTAATAAATCTTATCAATCAATATGTGGCGAAATTTATTGAAGTAACAAATGTCTAATTGAAATACTGAAAATATAAAGTAGATTAAAATAGAAGCTGCAGATATAATAAACTTTAATATTCAGAAATTCGATAGAAACCGTTTTATCAAAACGAAATTTATGGAATTGAATTTTAAATTGATCAGAGCGTTCTACCAGTAAAAAAAAAACAAGATAATATCGCAATTCCATGTCCAACATCATATGCATTCGCGCGATTGCAATCACGTCGAATATAGAAGGATATAGAAGACGATGCTAAGAACGAAGTTAACTGCGTCGTTAAAATAACTTTCGAAGGTGACTGATAATCTCTTATAAAACAAAGAAAACTCGAATACTTTTCAACGCGATAGACAATACCTATATATAAAAAACCATGATATATGATATATATAATAATTAGCGTCGCGACGTTACCGCGTCGCTTGATATATATATATATATATATATAATGGATACTTATATATAAATTAATTTCAGGCAGTAAAACGAAATGTATAAAATTATTACAAGAAGAGGGATTAACGCTT